GAGCACAGTTCTACTCTGACACACATGGGGACTCGGGAGTCTGGCTGATGCGATGGCACATAAAAACAATATAGTTTACCTTAGGGTTCATACAGCCCTATTAGTTTTGACACACGTGTGACATCCTGTGTCCACCATGACACAGGATAGGATCACTGGCCAGGGTTCCACCTGCTCATCCCTCCAGCTCCCGGCCATCTCTGATGTTTTCCGGTTTCACATTTTCTCCAATGTCCTGTAGTTGGAATCACATTATGTAGCTTTCTAGTTTATTTCTTTGTCCCAGTGAATAATCCACTCCACGGATGCTCTTCGTCTTGGTTACCCGTTCACCTGTGGAAAGGTTATGAAGTGCTGTCAAGTCAGTTCCGACCCATAGCAACCCTGTATAAGGTTTACTGAGGAGCCGCTGGTGAGCTTGAACTGCCGACCATGCAGTTCAAACAGCTTTGCAGTCCGATGCATTAACCCACAGCGCCACACCAGAACTCCTATGGAAAAGTGATTGTTTATTAATCCTTCATTCTGGCTGGACATATTTTTAGTTCACAGCTGTGTTTCAAGGAGCCCTGGTGGCTCTATGGGAGAAGCACGGGGTTGCTAACAACAAGATTGGCAGTTCAAATCCACCAGCGGTCCTGCGGGAGAAAGTTGAGGCTGGCTGAGCCAGTAAAGATTTATAGCCTCAGATATATGTTGTTGTTTTTAAGTGCCGTTGAGTGAATTCCAACTCATAGTGACCTTGTATGGGGATTCCAAGGAGCGGTTGATGGGTTTGAACCACCAACTTTGTAGTTCAAACCTACGTTACAATCCAGTGGTTGCCCACACCTGGACTGCTATGTTTAACATGGCTGTGACCCACAGCACCACCTTGTGTACCAGAGAAGAACTGCGCCCCACTGGGTTTTTAATGGCTGATGGTTTTGGAAACAAATCTGTAGGCGGCTCTTCAAGGCGCCTCCGAGTGGATTTAAACTTGCAACTTTTTATTTAGCCTCTGAGCAAGTTGACAATTTGAGCCCTGATGGAGTACTAGCTATGCGATGGGCTGTTAACTGCACGGTCCACAATTCTAATCTACCAGCCACGCTACCAGAGAAGAATGAGACGTTCTGCTCCTTTAAAGATTTACAGCCTCGGAAACCATATACAGGGTCTCTATGAGTCTGAAGCCACGCAGAGCCACAAAATCACCGACACGAAAAACAAAAATATGCACGCCCACTGCCGTCGAGTCGGCTCCGACCCTTAGCGACCCTATATATTATTTCTGAAGCTACAAATCATTCTCCCGATGAGAGGTTGCTGGGTTTGAAATGCCGCCCTTACGGATGTCAGTCCCATGTTTATCCTAACAGGGCCCCTCGGGGACTCATTTTGGCACCCCCTTTTGTATCACAGCAGCACTGCGCTCCACAGGATTCTCAAGGGATGATTTTTTAAGATGTAGGTTGCCAGGCCTTTCTTCTGAAGCACCTCTAAGTAGACTTGAAACCAGAACCTTCGAGCAAGCAGCCGAGCCAGCCTTGTGGTCATGTGAGGGACTTTGTGGGAGGCTGACCCATCCAAGGACCTTCAGCATTTATCAACCCTCCAGGAAACCCCAAGGGGGAAACTTGGCTCAGTCTGTGGCAGCGTGGATGGGAACATGCTGGTCTCATCAGCTGGGAGCTGGTGGACACCCTGGCATTCTGTCAACCATCATGTTCCCATCTTGTGTGTTGGGCTGTATATTCTGTGACTCAAGGGGCCCCCATTTCTGACCTTGTCCCCCCACCACCCAGGGACAAGGCGGGCGGATACGGCATCCAGGCGCTGGGAGGCATGCTTGTGGAGCACGTGCGTGGGGACTTCCTCAATGTGGTGGGCTTCCCACTGAACCACTTCTGCAAGAAGTTGTCCCAGCTTTACTGCCCACCGACCCCCGATGCCCACCAAGAGTCCATCCCGGCCGTGGGCAGTGTCGAGAAGCTGAGAGACCCAGAGACCCTCACAGGACAGGCAAATGCAGGCGAGGGTGTGCAGCAGACTGCCTGCAATGGAACTGTGGAGTCCCAGCCCCCATGTCCCTGGGGACTTCTGGATCTCATCCATGGCTTCAAAGGATCCAAGGTATTTTGAGCTGGGAGGGGCAAACAGGTCAAATGCATAGCTGCTAGCTCAAAGGGTTGCGTTCCCCCAGAGGTGCTTTAAAGAAAAGCCTGGTGATCTACTTATGAAAA